TAACAAGCTGGAATGAAAACAAGCAAAAATTAAATAAAAGTAACAACTTTCTACTTCTTGCCTTTTTTTAAAAAAATTTGAGTAGAAGTAAAAAGTAGGCTGAAGAATAATTACTCAAGTAAAGTACAGATACCCAAAAATTCTACTTAAGTACAGTAACAAAGTATTTGTATTTAGTTACTGTACATCTCTGCAGTCAGTGTTTTCAGGTCAGGACTGTTCATCCAGGATGGATGAGTCTTCTGGTGGAGCTTTGGTTTGTACGGATCAGAACTTCCTTATTGATCAGCAACTTTAGCTGTTTTACTTTGTTCTTCATCACTTGCAGATAAATCATGATGGATATCCAACAACTGGAAGTTTCTCTACTTTAATCGTCTTCTGTAGTCCTCCATCAAGAACACTCTGTCCTGTTAGTTTCTTCTCTAATGTCATTAGCCTTCAGCTTTCATTAGCAGTGTGCTCCGCTGTTTCTGTGGGTGGTTATTTACCTTTTTTAACCCTTGCCTGGTCCAAATGTTAAAAACTTATTAGTCTACTCCAGTGATTACCTGTTTGGGCACTTGGGACTGTCATGGTGGGTGTTGGACTTCTAAAGACGAGTTGTGAAATGGTCTGGGAGTGGAAGTGGTCAGTGGTGCTGATCACAGTAAAAACTGTACAGAAGTTCAGACGGTGAACCAGCTGATGGAGGGAAAGTGGTGAAACCTGTGGTCATGTGACAAGATGATGAATTTAGCAAACTGATTTAAAAAGACACTTGGCTTTTCTGAAAAGTATCAGTTTGTGGAGAAGTGCATTTATAAAGATTCAAGACAAAGGTGTCCTACTTTTTGCTTCACTCTTCACAGCTTTACTGTTTTTCTTTAAAAATAACCAAGTTAACACTGATTCATGTGAATGAAACCTGTTTCACAGTTAGAGTTCATGTTGTGTCCATGTGTCGTTACTGATTTACCAACAGAAGATAAAACCTGTGGACTAATGGTCCTTTCTCACAAACATTTAGTTAATCTGGAAAAACAACAAATCAGCTATCAATCAGTTTATTTGTATAGCACATTTCAGCAACAAGTCAGTTCAAAGTGCTTTACATGATAAAAACACAAAAATACAAAGTCATAGAACACAGTTAACAACTGAAACATTACAGTTTGTCAGGTGTCATCAAAATGTTTATTAATGTTTCATTTATAACGTTTCATAAGCAGCTCTAAACAGGTGGGTTTCAGTCTGGATTTAAAGGAACTCAAGAGTTTCAACTGTTTTAAAATTTTCTGGGAGTTTGTTCCAGATTTGTGGAGCATAGAAGCTGAATGCTGCTTCTCCATGTTTGGTTCTGGTTCTGGGGATGCAGACCAGAACCAGAAGACTTAAGAGGTCTGGAAGGTTGACACAACAACAGCAGATCTTTAATGTATTGTGCCAAGTTGTTAAGTGATTTATAAACGAATAACAGTATTTTAAAGTCCATTCTGTGAGTTTCAGGGAGCCAGTGTACTTGGACAGTGTACAGTGGACTTTTAGGACTGGCTGATGTGCTCTATCCTCCTGGTTTCAGTTAAAACATGAGCAGCCGTGTTCTGGATCAGCTGTCTGATGGATGTTTAGGTAGACCTGCAAAGACCAGTTCAGTGTGACTAAAGATAAACACATGGATGAGTTTCTCAAGGTCTTGCAGATATTAGTCCTCTAATCCTGGAAATAAATCCTGGAAATGTTCTTCAGGTGATCGAAGGCCAACTTTGTGACTGTCGTTCTGTGACTCTGAAGGTTCAGGTCAGAGTCCATCACTACACCCAGACTACAGTCTGACTGTTAGTTTCCAGCTGTAGCAACTGAAGCTCTGCGTTGACTATAGATCCTCTTTAGGTCCAAAGATAATAACTTTAGGTTTGTTTCTGTTCAGCTGGAGAAAGGTTTGGCACATCCACACATTGATCTGTTCTAAACTGGAAACTGTTTCATTGTGAGTTCACAGTGAGTCTGAAGACTCAAACTGTTATTTGAGCATTAAGACCTGCTGTGTTGTGAGACCAGGTGCAGCAGAGAGGCACTGCAGTTAAAAGCACCGATCATTCTACAGCTCCTCTCTTCAGTGAGCAGCACATCTGGATCTGTTCACATGTGTCCGGTTTACACCACCTCCTTCTGCACCACACCTCTGACTGCCAGGGTTGTATAAAGTACCTCAGAGAGATACTTCAGTAAAAGTACAGTTACCTTAACATAAAATTACTTTGGTAAAATTTAAAGTCTTCTATAATAATATTATTATTTGAGTAAAAGTCTTAAAGTAATGATCATATATAAAGAATGAACAGTATTAAATCACTGCATGCACTGAAACCCTCAAACTAAAACAAAGTCATTTTCAGGGACAAGACTGTCAATCTATCAATTTTATTGTTCTGTGCTAAAAATGTTAAATATAAAATTTGAGCATAGAACAGTTTGCATGAAAAGCTTTTCAGATTCCCCCTCCTGGTCCTGAGGATCTAAATAGTGCAGGTTAAAGTCTTCCTACAACTTGGACAACACAATGTTGTGTATCCTGACGTGTCTCAGTAATCCAGGTAGAAATATGTAAAAGAACTGAGTAGATTCTCTGGATGAGTTCTTTGTTGAAAACCTTTTCTCAAAGAGACTTCAGGTGAAAGGTTTTCAACAAAGAACTCATCCAGTGTAACGTGCAAGGTGCCTTGGGGTCCCTGAGGACTTGTGCTATGTAACTTCAAGCCATTTACCATAATTATTACGCAGAAAGAAGGACGTCAAATGTGTTCAAAATTCATACTTAGGAATTTCTTTCCCCCAGTGTGAGCCATGCCTTTAAAAATGTTTAGACTTTGATCTCAGTTGGTAAAACATGTCATTCCCCGGGAGGAAGTTATAATTCAAGCCAATATGTTGTGCTTGTGTTTTTAAATAAACTTTTTGTTCTTCATGTGAGTCTTGTTTCATGTCTCATCAGGAACCCTGAGACTCAGCCCGGCGGGGAACTGCTGCTGGGAGGAACTGACCCCAAATACTACAGCGGTGACTTCCACTACGTCAACATCACCCGCCAGGCCTACTGGCAGATCCATGTGGACGGGTAAAACCTCCAACTTTACAGGAAAAAAACAAACAAACAAACAAACAAATGTGTGGGTGTGTGTTAGTTTTAGCAGCTCATATGACTGTTGGAAAACTAGTGTTAGTTTTTTTATTTTGCTTGGGGGAAAAATGATCAAATAATAATGTTTTTGTAGATACAGGTATTATGAGCAAAATGATGTTCTACATTCAGCTTCCAAGAAAAAGACAGGATAGCTAAGGTGGAGATACAGTGGTTTGCAAAAGTATTCATACCCCTTGAACTTTTCCATATTTTGTCACATTACAACCACAAACATAAATATATTTCACTGGAAT